AGGAAAAAAGACTTTGAAATATCTGGGGACTGACTATACCCAAGTGTCAGGCTTATTTTTTTGCCTTAATAATAGAAAAGAAATACCCATTTTTAGGACACACATTGCAGTGGAAAATACTCATCAGGGCTGGGTAACAGGTATTGGTCCTGGCTCTATTCCTTTTGCTCACAGGCTGACCCCCCCACACTGATGATGGATGGTTCAGGGCTCTTTGTATTTAGGAGCAGAGGCTGAACAGTCTGGTGCTAAAGTGCCCTGGGAAAAATGGTTCCTCCATCTCTCCTGCTGACCTTCTGCATGTTCTTCTGCAAGTCACATCCCTGTCACTCAGCTCCTCCAGCTCCCACACAGGGTATTAAGAAAAACCCTCCAGATGCTTATTTTAAAATTAATTACTAAAATAGCCTACCTTGCTTTGCCAGATTTAAACCATTTACATTAATTTACCAATCCAAATGGCATCCTGAAGCATTCTGTAAAGCCTTATAAACATAAAATTAACATGTATCACTTAATTTCTCTCTGCTTTGCAAATCTGTATTTAATTGTTGGATTTGACTGTTGCTGCACAGCTGTAAGTTATTAAAGCACCAATTCCAACCTTGGTTATAAACATGAGGCAAGTTGTGCACCTGGAATCTCCCTCTTCCTTAAGCATTCTCCCACCTCACTTCAGTTTGCACTCAAAAAACCCCCCCACCTTGACTCACTACTGAAGTTACAATTAAAAAGAATTGGATAAAGAGCATTTTTAAATGATACCATCAGCAGCTGGACTGTGGATTCTTCATTCAAAGCTATCAGAAAAAACATCTATTCACCTGGTACCACACCACACCCACAAAGGTCAGACTCTATTCCTTACAGCCAGCCAGAAGAAAGGTCTAGCTCCTTCCCGGAAAGCTTTTTAAGTCAGCCTGGAGCCACCTGTAAACAGACTTATCCACAAGTGAGGGTTAGACAGCTTTCCAGGAGGAAGAAAACACAGAAAAGGTATTCTGTTTTCATACAGAAAGAAAAATCGAATTAAAAAAAATCAGAGTAACAAACTGTGCAGAAGATACTAAGATTTAATACAGCTTCACTATTATTACTTTGTGTTTGGTTTTGTTTTTTTTTTTTTTTAAAGACTGAGCAGTGCTGCACTCAGCAGTCCCTTTGAAACCAATGAGGTCACCTGGTTTCTATTCTGTAAAAGAAGGGAAAGTGGAATCACACTCACCATAAGATAGGCTCACTACTTAAGAGTCTTTAATTGATTTCACATTTCAAAGGGTGAAGTTCTGCTTTGAGTTTAATTAACCAATAAACAGCCTAGTCATTTACTTTAAAAAGGCAAGGTATTTATTTTTGTAGGGAATAAAAATAAACTGTAATACAAGTGAAACTTCATGGAACAAATACATTTAGAGAAAAAAAAGACACAGTGCTCCTCTAAACATGGTACAATTTCTTTTTAAGCAGTGCATTAACTAAAATGACTTACATGTATACAGCCATTGCAGCACATTCAAGAATACGGGATTTCATCATCCACAATTTTATACAATTGTCCCTCAACAGTTACACCGACAAAAATAGCGACTGACATACAGAAAGAGCAAAAACATTTACAATTTTCAGCCGAGTACTACACACAATTTTAGGTACATTCCTACAAAGATCAGTTTGTGGACGATAGGAAAAGTACATGTGTGCTCAGTTACATATGACTAGATCCAGTGCTACAAGTTATTCCAGTAGTATGCTGCTACATAAATACAGACGCATATACATAGATAAATGATATGAGAAGAGATATAGGTCAGCCGTTCTAACCTACCCTCTTTCTGCATTGCTTTTGTAGTTCAGAGATGCCAAAAGGACGCAGCACTGTACATTAAAATACTTGCCCTAACAAATTACACCGACTGCAATTGGCACCGACCTGGCTGCTCCTAGTGCTAAAGATGCTTATGAAAACATGGACTTTAACATCACCTGGTTCGAGACATTCCTCATCTAATTAAGTGCTGTGTATTAATTAAAACAAAACTACTACATTCAGAACAGATTCTTCCCCCCACTCCGCTCTGAGGCACACTAAGTGCCTATATGTGCCAGAGGGACAGTATGTAAACAAGGAATAACTGTGTTAGGTCCGTACAAAAATGACCGCAGCACTCAACACAGAGTGGTGGGGAAGGGGAGAAGAGCAAAACAGCAGACATTTTGAATTCTCCTGGTCACTTGCAAATATTCATTACTAAGCAGTGCCAAGAACTGGTCCCTTTGGGGGAGCAACCGTCAGGCACTGAAGCTACCCGAAGACCAGTTTTGCCAGAAAGTGAACCAAAGCAGCGTCTGGCACAAGAGGTCTTTTAAATGCTTTCCCTGCAGGTGCTACAGCTTTGTTAGATGCAAGGGTGCTTTCTGAGACCTATTATGGCTCACTATCTCCAAACGTGGTGGAAACAACAGACATGGGGCACTTCACCCACATGGAGATTTCCACCTGTAACCCAACAAGCTCTAACTCGAGGCAGAGATCCTGTGAAGCTCTGCGCACATTCAGCTCCCAGCAAATCTCTCACCAGGACTTCAGAAGCTTACTGAAGCAAACTGAAGCTTACCAGCTACCTACAAGCAAGCCTCCTTCCCCATCCTATCCAGGGTAGCTTTATGTACCAGTGAACACCCACACAGCAGGTGCATTTTACTCCTTAACACTTAACTGAAAGGCATTTACTAAGAGCAGGAACAGAACATGCAGCTAGAGGTATGTTATGCCTATAGGCTTTAACAAACTGCTTTTTCTCTCCCATGAAAGAGGGCCAATTGAGAACTACAACATCTGTGGGCAAACCAATTATTCCCTTTTTTTCTGTAAAGCAAACAGCACCGATTGGATTTTCTCTACCACAGGTGACAACTGCGAAACAAAATACAATTTAAGAATCCAGCATTGTGAAGTTCACATTAAGACTTTTCAACCAAGAAATAAAGCTACACGAGTCCCTCTTCTACTTCAAAGTAGTAGCTTTAACGCAGAATATTACAGGCGCTTGCCCATTGCAATGCTATACCTATTTGTAGCAAGAGAGATACTATGTACAGGCATGAAACCACAATACCATGGAGTATCTTAGTAAAGCAAGAGGTACTCCAGAAAAGAAAGTTTTACACAAACAGAGCCCATCCGCAGCAAATAGGATCCCTCCTCCAACCCAGTTCTCCCAGTCAGAGGAGTCCAAACGGAAAGCAGCAAGTTGCATTGCTCACTTAACAGCTCCAAATAAAAAAACCCAGCATTCGTGACTTCACGATGCATGGATGCTTCACTAGGAATAAATAAGTTATAGTAACTTTTCACCTACACAGTGCTTACATAAGAAGATTCCGACGTAACAGCTTTTAGATTTCCTTCAACACTTTTAGGGAACATATAATCAAGTCGCTCACCACTGTCAGCAGGACACTCCGCAACAAGTGAACACAGGCTTTCTGCAAGGCTCTGGGAAGCCAATCCTAGCTGATCAGAGACCTGAGGACGCACTGCAGTGCTTTGAACAGCTTTTCATTTTTGGTCTTGAAACACCCAAGAGTTTCCGTCAAAACTACAAAGCTTCTAGCTAATCGGTTTTCAAACAAATAATCTCATGGAAAGCCCGGAAACCCTGGAATCTTTTCCAGCTCTGTACATTTACAGCACCAGCATGAATGATTTTTAGTATGTTGTAGACTTTGACCAGGTTTGTATATATTAAATCCAAGAGGTTTAAAAAGACAGACCATTACCTTTTTTTTTTTGGCTAGGTTTTGCATTTCAAAGTATAAAGTCATCCATTGTTTTGTTACTGAAGTCAAAAGCAGCAAGATTACTAAAAGCTTACTAATACTTTCAGTGTATGAAGTAATCTTTTCATGGTTATACGCACCTGTAGTAATATTGTAGTCAAGAAGGGTTTGTAGAGATGTCAGCGTGACGTTTTACGGATAAGCAAAGATTATTATACTTTTTTCAAGGTAATCTATGGTAATTCAAAAGACAAGGCGATGTGTAAACATTTATAGAAACCTTCTGAAAAATGGTTTTATGCAATGATTAACCAATGGCATACCTAAATCCCTCAAGTAGTCAGTCAAAATTGTCTACAGTTCTCTATCTCTAATTTTCACTAGAGAACACATTAAAAGAAACAATGATATCTAGAATAACTGGTCCTAAAAACTGCCGGTCTTGGTCTCATTTACCATTTTGGAGTTATCTATTTAAGAAGCCATGCATACTATCCACTACACTCTTCTACCACCTCCAAAGAAAAGACAGGGTTGATCTATCAGTCCATATGAAACGGGCTCCAAACTGCAAAGTGCACGTGTGAAATTGAGCTTTTACACTATGAAGACGCAAAAGGAAATAATCTCCCAAATACCCTCCAGTGGAAATCTACAGCAGATTCCAGACCCTGGGTAACTAGAGCAGCCAGATTAAGACTTAGGGTGCAATCTCTTTGCTTGAGGAGTACATGGATACAGCAAAGCTAAAAGGCTGGTAGACTATCTAGCTTAATGTTAGGAGCTTAGCAGATCTCTTGTTAGGAGCAAAGAGACTCAACAGCAGATACTTGAGATTAAAAAAAGATGCATTCAGAAACGTGCATCCTTCAAAATAAAATATATAGCTGTTGGATGATGCAGTATTTTTTTATATGCACCCACACAACAAATTTTTACCATCTTCTACCTAAGCCTATCTGCTTCAGTATTTTATATGCTTAGTTTTTAAATCAATCACACATTGTAGTTCTCTCACTCCTACCTTGAAAACAACTATATTACTTGCTTTAAGACTGAAATACCTGCAACACTTTAAAAAGTTTCTCTTGCCATTCTAGGCATTGAAGAAACTCTGTGTTCTCAGGTATTACTCTTTCTCCTTGGGTCTTTTGATATGCTTAATAAAATATATATTTTCTTACCCAAAGTGAGACACTCAGGGGAGTTTGTGGGTTTGGTTTTTTTTCATTTTCTATTTTATCTTGAACACTGAAATTAACCTAGTCATTCCACCGTACGTTATAAGCATATGAACAATGGCTACTGCATTTTACGATGCTATAATGGAATGTTTCTACTTTTTATTGTAAACTGGGAGGGCTAACTTAGAAAATATGTTCAGTTTGTTTCAAGTTTTCATAAAAGAGAAAAACTGATTTAAAGACCTAATGGCAGCATTAATTTAAACAACAGGATCCAAAAGAAAGCAGAAAAGCATCTTAAATTAAGCCGCACAAAGGGACTCTCTGTGCAATTAAGCACATCTATAGATGCTTGTCTGGAACAAGTACTGTAGAACAGCTTTCCTGGGCCATCCATTTCCCTGGGGAGACAAGCCCTTGTTTCTTCACAAGACTTCTGTATAAATGGAATATACATCTCTGTTTTAAACCTGCAACTTTGAACTAGTATCTCCAGCTGAGATTACTGCAGTTTAAAGAAACCAAGTAGTGTTAACAAGCACTGGAGTGAGTCCAAGCTGGAGCCACAGCCACAAGCAAAGATGTCCACTTCTTGTTCCAACAAGGGGTCACATCCCAATTTACGTTTTGTCACCAGCTTCACAAAATTAGAAATTCATTGCCGTGAGAGATATTGTTTATCTCACCACATCTTGACAGTACAGACAAAACATCTCTACGCTTCATATAATTTTAACATCCAAGATAACATTCATTATAATCACTCAGCATGTGATGTGAAGTAATCATTTTAGGCCCCATTTCAATAACAGAACACACCTAATCTGTAATTATTGCCTCATCGATGGATGTGAGGAAAGCACATCGATTCCAGCTTAGAACAAAGAGTTACTCTCTTGCTTCAATTTAACCAAGATCATAAAACAAAACAAAAGAGAAAAATATCATATAATTTTTTTCCTATCTTTTCTCATTTCTAATCTTCCCTCTGTCAAAAATTCACGTGTTACAGGCTGTCTTTGTGGCTTGCTGCACTCTGACAATCAGGAAATGAGGTCCATAAAAGCTTATTCTTTGAAAGGTCAGCTTAGAAAGAAGCTACTAAACTCAGGGGATCAGCAAAGATCCTGGAGAAGCCGGCAGCAGATAAAAAACCTTGTTTAAAAATACTGACTACAAAGAAGACCAAATACTACACTCTACACTACAATAATAAAAATAGTACGTTGCGTGGCTAGACATTAAAACGGTCTCCATAAAAAGGCACAGGGGGGTTTGTTTTTGTTTAACAAATATGCATAGGAAACAAAAAATGAATCAGTTCTGCCACAAGGTGAGGGTCCATGCAGAGATTCATTCACAGCTAAGAAAAGTTTGGGTCTTTTTTTTTTTTTAATCTTTTTAAGATGAACTGAATTTTTTTATCATTTTAAGACGACCTTGCACCACCACTGAGAACAAATGGACCGCGTCTTTCCTACTCCGGTTATAAACACTGCACAACTCCTAAGCCTCATGTTAATTGGCCAAGATTTCTTTCAGCTTGAAATACCATTCCTGGCAGGCAGTCATAAACCTTAAACACACATTGTGTTTTCACTGAAAAATAAGGTTTACACTAACTCAAGGTAGCCTTCTGGGCAGCTCTGTACACATCTTCATCATTTGAACTGCAAAACGATGCAAACCAAACCAAACGGGGACCATCTTCTCTACAGCGAGCACAGCTCCCTGCAAACATACGTACTCACACTTAGCTGTAAATGGTTAGGTGGTCTACACCCTCACGGAGGCACAGCTCCCTTACGCCTCACCACCACAAGCGCCTGCTTCACTGAACACAGTTCTCAGAGCTGATCAATGGTGCTGAGGCTTTCCATCCTTAGCTTCGGCGTTTAACATGTTAACGGTGTCATTAAGATCATGGAGGTCCTGGTGAGGAGACAGGTTCTCTTTGTGCTTTTGGTCCACATCTGACACAACATCAATATCCCCTGCTGAGGCACCATTGCTCAACACAGGAGGTGGTTCCCCTTCATAATCCTGAGGAGTGTTGAGCATCGGTGTTTTTGAAGCAGCACGTCCTACTTTAGATAAGGAGCAAGCTTCACTGGGCAAAGGACCATCAAGGAAAGGAAGTTTCTACACAAATAAAAAGACATTAAAAAAAAAAGAAAGCTATTATTCCCAGATGTCAGAGATACACAAAAAACAACTGTCAACATAATAGGCCTGTGCCAGTGCCTCTTTTTCAGCTCTATAATCCAGCATTAAAGTACATAGGCATAGACCCTTACATGTTTGATACAAACATCATTGTTTAATTAATAAAACTAAAGTTTTCAGCATTCACATTAACCTAACAAAGGACACTGATAGGTCTTCTTCCTGGTGTATTTTTAGAGGACTCTCCCACTACTGTATTTTTAGGGTTTTTTTTGGTTTGTTTGTGGCTTGGGTTTTTGGTTTTGTTTGTTTGTTTGTTTTTAAATATGCATGGAAAGGATATTGGAAGTAGAGCCTTGAGCATAAAGAAAAGCCACACTTCTTTCAGGCAGCTGTACAGGACAGTGGTGGATTGACCCTGAATGCCAGGTGCCCACTAAGCCACTCTGTCACTCCCCTCCTCAGCAAGATGGGGCAGGGGGCAGAAAATAAGATGGAAAAAAACCCTCATGGGTCAAGGTAAAGGCAGTTTAATACAGCACAAGCAAAGGCCATGCATGGAAGCAAAGGAAAACAAAAGATTTATTCTCTACTTCCCATCAGCAGGTGATATCCAGCCACTTCCTGGGATGTAGGGCTCCAGTACATGTAGTGGTTGCTCTGGAAGGCTAATGTCATAACAACGAATGCCTCCCCCACCTTCCTCTTAGCTTTTATTGCTGAGCCAATGTCATATGGTATGGAATATCCCTTTGGACAGTTTGTTTCAGCTCTCCTGGCTTCATCCCCTTTCAAAGACCCTGCCCACCCCAGCCTACTGGCGTTTGGGGGTGAGGGGAGGGAATGTTGGAGAGACAGCCTTGATGCTGTGAGTACTGCTCAGTAGTAGCCAAAACACTGCTGTGTGATCAACACCTTTCTAGCTACCAATACACAGCACAGCACTATAAGGGCTATGGGGAAAATAAACTCCATCTCAGCCAGCCCCAATACATATGGAAACACAAACCTACAGCATTTCAAAAGCTAACAAGACTACTTTTTTCTTTCCTTGTCTTGCACTGCTGAGATAGATATCTACATCTTCACATAGAGAAATATAGCACTCTGGGGAATCTGATCAGAACTGACCAAACTATGAAGTGTGTTGCTGTTTACTTTATTATTCTGGGTTGAAGGAGAGAAACTGGTTATTCTGGACAGAAGATCTCTGCTCTCCAATACCACAGAACACTAGTAGTACATGTGCCAGATTCCCAGTCTTGTTTTAGCAAAGCACTTCAAATCCGAGGTAGCCACTTTTAGAGGATAATTCAGCCTACATGATCCAGCTACATTTTGGCCATTACATGAAAACCCACTTAAGTAACTCAACTGTTTTAATACCTGGTCGATCATCAGTTTTTCCAATGGGGCTTGCAAATGAGAAGGCAGGAAAGCAAAATGTGGGGACAAGCCAAAACCAAGAATATTTTTATATATTCATGTTATTTATGTGCGGGGGAAAGCAGGCCCATTCTTTTCTTCTCTCCCTCTCCCTTGAAGTTTGCTGGAAGTGGAGTTGAAACCCAGATGTTCTTTTAACACCTGCTTTGTTTAGAGAATTAGAACATCATGAGTCTGCAACAGAACTTGACCAAACACAGCTTTTACCTAGTGGATGAGAATTTTGGGTAATCAAACCTATTTATTACAGCAACATCATTTAACCCATCATTTTGCCCAGCTCCGCCCAGCATGTTGAAACAATTATTCAGTGCCAATGTTCAATCCCAGTTATATTTGCCAAAACCATCATGTGATTTTAAATATTGTTAAGATTCAGGACTCACATTTTCCAGTTCAGATGCATTGTCCTCCAGTTTCATCTTTTGGCTCATGCAGCTTAGCAGATGATCCAACACACGCTGTTTTGGATGCATTCCTTTGTCAAAGCGATTATACATCCCACACCAAAACCTCAAGAACAGGGCAAGAAAAGAGGATTAGGTGGCCAACTGCACACTACTGGCCAACAAACTAGATGCTGTTTAAGGAAAAATTTTCACCAAATTGAGACTAGTAATTGATTTTAATGGACAAATTTTCATAAGGTTCAAAAAAAAAATTTCTGAGGATTTAAGTACTCCTGCCTTATGATCCACAGGCACTGGCAGTAGGTATTAGCATAAGACAAAAACACACTTTTTTTCTCTAGCAGGCTCACCAGAGGCTTGGTCAGTTCACCTTCAAGCCCTCAGTTTGTCCTACCTTCCTACTTTTATTAAAACCCTTTGCCTGTCAGTAACCACACATAGCACTTAAAAACACATTTGCATCCCTCTCTCTCTCTCAGCAGAGAACAGGAGTGAGCCAGAAACAAAGCAAAACTAACCACTTCAGCTGTAACACCCTGGGCAAGCAAACAGACATGGCAACAAGAAATCCCTCTTGTGAAAACCACCTTGACTGTATAAACCTGGGTGTGACTGGGCACTGAAATTCCTGTTTGAAAGACTTCCTTAATATATATTAAAAAGGAGAAAAGGAGGAACTTTCTTTAACAATTGCCCACCCTATCATGTAAATTTGACAGAGCAAGCAGAGTGTGTGTGTGGGTCTATCTACACATGTGAAGTTCTTTTCCTTACCTTTCCCCACCCTCTTTCTCAACACCAAAGAAAAAAATATTATTTTAAATTACAGTACCTGCACTTATTTAGCAATTACCTGTGCACTACTACTCTCAGTTTATGGATGAGGAATGGAGGGGAAAGGTAAAACAAACCATGCTAATCAGTGAAAATTTGTTTTATTAAACTTTAATTACCAACCTACGTTACAATGAAAGAAATGCCCCCTTTCTCAAATAAGCAACTTACTGGAAACTGAAAGGTAGTGTGTTTGGTTGAAGCTCTTTGTATGCTGTAAATCCTCTGTACAAAGGATTTCTCAATTCTTGCTTCTTCTGTAAGAGGAAAGGCCACAGAGAATGGGTCTTCTCAAAGATTCTGTCAATTACAAAGAACATCTAATCACTAAAAAAAAAGAATCAAGTGGATTAATAACGCTAGCTGTTCTGAGTAGAATTAGATTAAGGGAGCTATGAATTATCTTTTACACAGTATCTGATTAATTTCATAAACACAACATACATCACTGAGGAATATATAATAATTTAAAATGGACACTATCTAATCCAAATGGGGTATCTGCAAGTTATTACTGTGGGCCAAGCTGAAACATCTGTCTTCGGGGATATAATTAATCTTTAATTTTTTTTTCACACTTCTGTAGAACAGAAGCATCTGTCAAGACAGTGTTAACCTTAACCAATCTACAATTACATTAAAAACACACAAACACTACCTGCCCTTTTTCTGACATTTAAAAGGACTTCTAGACTGTTGGCTCTATAAACTGCCAACTCACTTCAGATCCTCACGCTCCTTATGACAGATCCCAAGGAAGTTGCCAAACTGGCAGGAGTAGACGTGGTCATGGATTTCAAGAAGGAAACGCTCATTGAACTCAAATGTGCACGGGAACTGCTGCATGAGCTGCCAGACACATTCAATGAACTGAGTGAAGACAGGGGATACTTCTTTGGGGTCACCATCCAAATGGCCACACCTAGAAAAATGCAAGCAAAACAAGGTTAAACTGTGTGTCACCCGACAAAAAAAGAATCCCCTCAGCATTAAACAACTGGGAAGTTTTTTTCACTACTAGAATAAGAAATTATTCTGCAGAGTCAGAGAAAAACCCCACATGGTTTATCTTACAGCAACTGTATATTAAGGTGTACCACCCTCAGCATTACTTGTTCTCCAAGGGTGCCTGGTAGAAGTGACAAGAATTGTGCAATGTCCCTTTCTCTAAAGTAAAATTAGCAATGGAAGAGCCTACATAACAGTTGCAAGCATCACAAGAAATATTTGTGAAATAGGAGTTCCTGAGCCTATGCTACAACGTTAGCACAAGGGAAAAAAACCCCAATATTCTCCCAAAAAACATCTGTTGCTCAAATATAAGAAACTAATGCTAGCTCTTAATTGGGGAAGAAAAGTTGACATTGGTGGGATTCTGTCTGTCTGCCAGGAATAATAAGAAACAGCGTGGGGGGGAAAAGCATCCTCTACAATCTTCTATGGATATGAGAATATTTCATGGTGCAGGAATAGCCACAACAGGCAGCAACAGAACAACCTGATTTTGCTCCACATGGACATCAAGAGTGAAATTCTGGTAGGCAGTTACTCAGACAGAAAAAAAAAAACCCCACCAACTCAAACAAAGAAAATCCCAAAACAACAATTAAAAATATTTTTACAGCTTTAGATGAAGTTCAGAATAACCCTACTAGTTCTATAAAAATCTAGCCAGGGATCTATTGGTGTTCATTACAACTCATCACAAAAGAAAAAACAATCAGAAAAGGAATAATAGCATTTTTGGAAAGCAGCCAACACTCTATTGTACTGTAATGACTGTTCTTTCCTAAGAGAAAAAGCTTGGGGAAGAATTCTCCTTTTCTAGGAAGGGATATAACCTGGAAATCCACAGAAAGGAACAAAGCATCCCCAAACTTAAGTGGAGAAATGAAGTAAGATTTCTTATGACAGAAATCTAGCCGATCAAGTCCCAGTTCCTGGTTCTGTGATTCCAACTGCAATACCCTAAGAAGCAGCATAAAGGATTGATTTCCCTCAGAACTGTAAGGCACCGGCCACCACTATGAGAGGAATGATTTTGTCTACTGGAATAAAAGTTCATATTCTCAGTCAATGCTGAAATTCATGTCTCAAGTACTTTTTGTATCCATTGCCAAGTTCTCATATTTGGAACAATCCTTTGTAACAGAAGGAGGTTTTGGTTTCTGGGGTTTTTTTGGTCTTAAAGTAAGAAAGGTAAGAAGAGTCCTTAAAGAAGCAGAAGCAATGACCACAGAACATTTACTTGGCCAATAATGACCAGTTTATCTTTGACTGCTGCTTCTTATGTACCAGTATAAGGATGTTCATATCGCTTATTTCCCCCCAGATATACTTTAAGGAAACAGATTTGTTTTATTATTAAATACAGGAATCAGTTTCACATCGAGAACAAAGCTTCAATTTTTAGCAAGTTAACACCACTGAACAGACCAGTCCCTTCCCTCCTCGTATTCTTCTGGACCATCTCAGTTTAATTTCTGTATGGTAAATATAACAAGACGTAATTCAAGGTAATATCCCTACTAGATGCAGGCTATCAATTACAGGAATGATAGCATTTTTAATGTGCCTAGAGAATGCAGGTCAGATTGTTTTTTAGCACTATATTGGGCTCAAGTTCATGCTTTCAACTTGGTAAAAGTCCTGAAAAACATTAGCTGATATTTTCTTCCAGGAGATGATTGCAGAAGAATTAACGTGTCTTGCCAGAACATCAGTACTCCTCATACAATACAAATGTGATTTTACAGGTAGGAAAACACTCATAATACAATTTCTTCAAGACCGTATGATTTTGTAAAGTAATAAAAAAAGCACTGGTGAAATAACAGCCCTAGCAGATACTGGCTTTATGTCACCCACTCCAGTGCTTTCCAAATCTTCTCTCCTCTGTCCTCTATTTTCATTTAAAATTTTTCATGGGAGTACACGAACCTGAAAACACTATATTAGTTTCATAGCCAAGTCTTCACCCAGTCACTGCACCCAAGATAACATGCTCTTCTTACCTGTGTGAGAATTTGTGGCCCATTGCAATCCACTCCTTTTCTATTAGAACCTTCAGTTTCAAAACAGAGATTAAAAAAAGACCGTTACTTTGTTTAGAAAAAGCAAAATGAAGCCTTTGATGTTAAACACTAAAAAGCTTACAATCAATGCTACCTGCTGACCCTACTGAGTGTATCCATAGAAGCCAATGAAAATAGTAACAGTGATTTAGAGTACAATGTCACTGTTAGAATCAGAAGTTATTTCAAGCAAGCCCAGTAATACCTTGAGAGAGTTTCTATGTTGTTAAAATCATAATATATAAACATGCTGATCTAAAAGAATTAACAGCTTAATATTACACTATGTACTATTTAATTCAGAAAAGAGTATCATGATATTCAGCAAAATAAATCAGCAAGTGGAATTCAACAAATGTTTAACATACAAATAGGAATATAAGAAGTACAGCTGTGAATTGAGGAGCTCAGGATGAAATCAGGAAAACTACATGGCTATTTCTCTTTAAAGAGAATGCCTGTGCAATATGTAAGAAAATAAGGAAGCAGTATTTTCCTTAAACACACGGCTCATAAGGAACCAAATGACTGATGCTAAATCCATTATTACTTGCCTTGCTGGATCATAGTTAAAGATCAATTCCTGATATCATCATCCAGAGACTTAAACAACAAAAGGAGGGCAGAAATTCACAACAAAGTTCTTTGAAAACTTAAGTTATATTGCTTTTCAAATTTTTCCATTCTCTACACTTTTGTTGCATTCATTCAGGAATAACCACTGTCATAGGATTTGTGCATATAAACCATTTGCTCAGAGGACAGATAAGCATTTGTCTGTTGGAGTTACTGCTCCTGTTCCTAATCAAAATCACGTTTCTTAGTTCATACAGAATTGTCCAGAGCACAGCCAAAGCCTAGGCAGAAGTTTCACACTCTGATGTAATTTTAACTGTTAAAACATTGCAGTATAATCCAGAAGCAAAATAAATAATAAAAAAATTAGCACAGAATGCAAGGAAACAGTCCTAGCAGTGCAAAACACTGCAGGAGGCAAAATTTGCATTATTCTGATTTCAGGGTTTCTTTTAAGGAACTCTTCTGACGAAGAGCAGCAGTCTATCTTTCAGGTACTTAACAAAAAGAGATGAATGGAAAAAAACCATCACAGATTGCACTATATTTATGCAGTGATGGCTTCAAATAAGAAAAAGTCTGAGTAGAAGCAAATGGCCAAATTCACGTGTAATGGCTTCAAAAAAGTTCTTTAATGATGCACAGATTTTACATGATATACAGGTTATATGCTGCCCTATGCACAAGAATGAGTTCACCCAATTTTAAATCCTAGCAGAGAAGAGACCATTCACTGTAACAGTCTTAAATGACAAGCTTCTTCACTGCTTTTTTTGTGGATTGCTGCCAGAGTTGCATCCTTTGCTCACTCATCTCTTGCTGAAATGTCTCATTAGTGGCTCTCATGTGGACATTCAAGGAAACAAAGATTTGGGAATTGTAAATCAACCACTGCTGTTTTGTGCCCATGCTGTTCACAGCAATTAAAGCTTGTTTATAGAATCAAAGCTAGTTTTATATAGGTCACCTACTGTTTGTTCCAGGAAATGGCCTAAAACATTTAATTAGGGCCTGTTTACATTTCAAATACAGGAAGCACTTTTTATTTTTGAAATTCCAACATTCGTCTTCTTACCATGAAGCCTTTAAAAGTCCTATAAAATGGATCTAAGAGGAGGCTAGCCAGGGAGCAGACCTGCGCTGTGCGATCCCACCCATCAGAGCAGTGGACTAACACACTAGCTTTTTCATCTTTCACAGCCTGTGAAGGAAAGACCAGACAGAACAGTTTAGCAGCTTTTTAGGTTGGTTACTGTAATTAAATGCTATCCCTTTATCTGCATTTACCTGACTGGCCTACAACCCAAGAGGAAAATTTGTCATTTCTCATCTGGACCACGGAAATGCACCACTTCTAGTCACATAGCCATCAGCCCATAGGAAACCCCAACTAGAATAAACTGTTGTAGCATGCCTTGTCAGCAACACCGACTGTCAAGAAACAAAGACCCTCTGATCTCAAAATGCTCAGTCTTCTGAAAGGCCAAGAATTCTCAGTCCCCTTCTCTAAGGAAAAATTTGGTGGACAAGTAAAGAATAATAATTGGACACATGGGGACTAGGAACTTCCCAAGAAAAATTAGAAGAGCTCATCCCAGCTTCCTCCCATATGGACCACCTTCTTCCCCTTGTACCGGTGGCAGAAGAGAAACACAAAATAGCTTCTTGCTTGCTACATGGGAAAATTTTAAGCGAGAAAAGACAACATTTACAGAAGGTCACTACTCTTGCCACATGTTGCCTGCACACCCTTTACTATTACTGAAGGGCCATGTGCCTTAGTGACTTTTCTCCTTCTGCCTGACCTGCAAAGCCACAAGCTCTGGAGAAATGAAGACTGCATTGAATAATCAAAATTAGCAGTCCCCGCATCACATAGAACCAGGAGAAAATAAACCAGTCTAAACACTCCCTCATTTAAAGCAGAGCAGTTCAATAACTAACTAGCATAAGGTTAAAAGTTGTTCGCACTACTAAATATGCGTTAGAGACGTTTATAAAGGTCATTTGTTCACATTTTGTGATTTTATTTGTTTCACATGAGTTCTAATAAAGCCCAGATAACTGCTCATTACAATACAGTGAACAGGACAATGTCCCAATGCCTACAGCATTTCATTTAGTCACGGGAAGTGTCTAGGAGACAGCCCACTGGGTAACCCCCTTGACGTTCTCCAACTGCAGGCTTGTTTTTGAGAGCTGAGGCCAATCTGAATAGCAGTGTTTTCCCACCTTCTGTCCAGAGACAACTTCACAGCCTTGGAGCAGTCCCTAACAGACAAGTACGTATTTTTTAATTCACCTGCAGGCTGGAGTACAGTTTTACCTTGGCAAGAAAGACACCTGCATCCATCACAGCCTTAATGTGCCGTAACCAACCTGAGTTCTCCAGCCCAGTGAGGAAATCGCTCATTGAGGGGGACTTCATTTCACACACTAAGAACACAAACAAAGGAATTAGCTGACACTCTGTTAACAACATCTCTTCCTTTTTCCCACCTCCTCATTATCTCTTCACAGCAACAGAGCTTGGTAGATCCTAAAAGCTAATGTTTCCACACTTTTTAAGTGTCAGTAGCGACATCCTGTCTAAAGGACACAGAAACTACTGGTTGCATACTCAAATACACAAGCCAGTGATTTTTAGCTATAAGAGAACTTGAGGATCTGAAAATATCCTCCTCCTCTTTTTTTAAACAGTAACTCATTTTTTCAGCTGAGTTTTTTCCAACATAGAAAGTGTTTACTGATCTGTTACTTCACTATAAATCACCATTGCACACACATCTAACAACTAATGTGCAGTCACCATCACAAAGAAAGGAGAGCTCCAATTTAGTGAGAGAAATAACATGTCCAACCTTGAAGGCAACTCAGATTACTATATTGAAACCCAGCATAGAAAATACTTATAGTAATACAGTTCAATAGTCCGTAAGCACCAGCGAGACAGATTTTATCACTGTTGAAGAAGAATATGGGCGTAAACAAGTATTTATTCTGCCTCTTCTTCCACCACAAAATAAATCTGCCAGGAACAGGCAATTGAGGACTTATACTTGTGATCAGGCCAATCTCTTGGTTGTGCGAATAGCCTCATTTTTCTCCAAGGTCACTATGGATCCTGCAGTGCTACCTGGCCAGGCACTTGGTAGCATCAATTATGGAACTATTTTGAAGCAACACGACCATTACGCTGGTTACTAAAATATTAAACTCGTATTTTGAATGACAGCACTTGTATTACATTTTAGAAAACTAAACACAGAGACCAAGCAGAATGATTTGCAGCATCTACTCTGCCCAGTTCTGCAGTCTTTGTCAGCACAAAGATGGTAATAGTGCTGGAAACCAGCTAGCACAGTATGCTGGTTTGATCCAAGCCACACCTTCACCTTTAATGGAACTTCTCCAAAATTACATTAGTGAAAATATGGGCCTGATTCACCTCTTGTTCTCCAGTGGCTCAGGTATTTCTTCTGCCTTGCTTCACATTGTTACCTGAAGATCACAATCTCACAGAGTAACTTAATTATCTGAGCTACTCTGCATTTTAATATATTTTAATGTGTTAAAACATTAATTTAATACATTTTAATGTATTAAAACCAAGTTCTGTTAAAGAAATCAGAAAGAAATGAAAAATAAGAACTATGTGTGTATGAGATTACAGATCTTTGGAAGATCACGCCAACATTTTATTTCAAACCAGAAATACTGTTTAACACTGAAATACTCCAAAATAAACATAGTAAACCCCAGAAAAGTATTTCCTCAACAACCTATGTTAGTTTTCTTTCAAGAGCTCACAAAGTAACCATAAGACTATCTTAACAGTAAAATGTAATATTTCTCTAGCCTTTTTAATTTGGCACATTTAAGAAATTCACATTCTAAGTAACTAGCACAATTAAGGAATGTTGTTAGTATTAGTTGCTATTTTTGAACCACTATAAAACTAAGCACAATAATAAAGAAAATGTCTAGCGGGAAAGCATTTTAACAACATTAGCACTTTCAGCCACTTCAATACAGCAAACAAAGGAAGATATTGACTTCGATTATCTGCTTCCACCACAATACACAAGTCCACATGCACTTGTGCACGTAGTATTTATATATTCTCAAAAGGTTCTGTCCAAAAGTAGCCAAGGGTAATGAAGACCGGCCACCTGCACGGACGGTACCTACCTTCCAGGAGTTTCTGCAAGCTGTTCCGCATCACATGGATGTTTTCTATACCAATAAATTTAAAGCGAATGTTATCATAATTATCTTCATTCTCATAACCCTTCCCAGCAGCTCGGTTGGCCATGGCATTTAACTGTCAAATTCAAGAGAACAGGAATAGGATAGAAAAAGACAGAAAATTACAACAATATGCAGAAATAAATGAGTCTGTTTTGCAAGTCCTTCTTTTTTATAAAATCTCCGAGAAAACACACTCTACGAAGTTGTTACTCCGACGTACTTCCCCACCTCCCAGACATTACTTCCAGCTGCTTCACTAAAATTATGCCAGTGTCTCCAGTCCACTAGTCATATGCAGAGACTCATTAAGACCCTGGATAGAATTTCTTAGGGTAGGCAGTATCAAAACCATGCCCAATTTCAGAATACTGCTGTCATCAAAACAGGTAAAGAGACATTGAGTCTGCCTTAACTGTGAAGCTACGTAAAAAGATTCAGACAGAAGCACACAAAAGTAAAAACTAGGAAAGCCATTTTTACGAGTAACATACATACATGGTGGTATAGAAATAGTAAGAGAATTCCAAAGCTTTTCACAGACATACATGCACAGATGAAATAAAGCCACCTGAGGGAAACATAGAAATATTAAAATTGAGCAGAAAGAATACAGCAACCAACTGGAACTGCAGAAAAGAAGTAGAAAAGAAGCCAGTTGCTCTAACAATTACCCAAAACAGTTCAAGAGCTACCAGGAAATCTTTACCGGTGACCAAAAAAGAGCACCTCACCCCCCCGCATATTAATTTGGAAAGAGGAGTGATTTGCCTCCATAGAGAGGAGAGAAAGAGGAGTCAGATACTGTATATAGACACCTTTAGAACAACTAAATAACCCTAGTGCTTCAGTTCTACCATTCAGAGAAAGACATGTTGTTTTAGAAGGAGAAATGTGACCAATTATAAATTCTTTTTCACCAAATACTTTAGAACAAAACTGCCATCAATGATAGATTTAGTGGAACATCTATAATACTGGAAGCTGTCTGTACCAAAAGAACATGCAGCGATTGCTACAAGCATACATATAATTACAGAATAGGTTATCTCTAGTATTTTGTCTCTTTGTAGTATGACATTTCTATCTTGGAACAACAGGTGAAACATTCCTTTCTTTCCCAAAAAGACTTTTTTCCTTCTTGCTCTTGCCATAGTTTAACTAAATCTGTAATTTCTATAAAATAACTGCAATATCTGAACAGTGAAGCAGGTTCTCAGAAAGCCCAATTTTAAAATAATCAGAGCACTTTTAAATCTTTGTATTTAAATAATTGCATACTATGAAAATCCTTGTATTCTAATTTGCGTATACCAACACTCCCAATCAACATGCTTACAAGACAATCTAGAATTGGTTTCTAAATTCAATTCCTCAGGATGACAGTCATTAGAGATTTCAATTTCCGAATGTTTCTCTATTATCCTCTTACACTCAGCAACGAAGTTCCAGCCCCAGATAGCGGCTATGGACCAGAAGAGCTGAATTGTACTAAACTCCAAGCTGCACATCATGAGAACATTAGTGTTATTTTTACAAAAGCAAAAAAATGGGAGTAATTGCTTTTCTGAATTGTTATCAGACTCCATACAGCCACACTTCTTCCCAGGTCTGCTGATAAAAGCACTTCAGGCTCATGGAACTGAATCCTAAGGCTTCTCTCCAACTCAACATATTAAGGACCTAGCTCTCTTCAGGAAAATGCTTCACTGTCTCAGCCAGCTTCAAGACTGCCAGTTGCTTCAGGTCATCCTTAACACAAACCTCAACCCAGAATACTCCAGGAGTGCAAGCATTCTTAACAGCTCTTAACATTGCAGTTCTATTATGCAAAAGTATTCATCACATTAAGACACCGAACCAGGAGCCTGATACTGAATTCCTGATTCAGGAATGACACAATTTAACCTAATGCAGCATAAGAAAGCATTAGCAGAGTTGTGAAAGAGTGAACTCGAAACAGCGTTACTAATTCAGACGCAACCTTTAAAAGTAGCCACAAACCCCAGGAAGATACCTTTGGCCTTGTGTCTACAACATACATGAAGGGGCTCCCAGGGTTGGCTTCTCTGATCGCCTGCAGCATTTGTTCATCCTCCAGACAGCGTGCACTGAACCCAGAGAGAGGCTGGCTACAACGACATATGGCAGCCTGCAACACACAACAGCTCATATTTTCCTGTGTTCAGATCATCTCTACTGCACTGCCCCCCAAACCACTAACTTGTTGGTTTTAAGTGTCCTATTGTTTCCCTGAAAAACTGCTACTGAAATGGACATACAGAAATACTACTGGAGTATCTCTCAAAGCTAGAAGTCTGGGAATCTTAAGAAAGTAGAGGGGCTAAGGAGCACTGCTGCAAACTTCATTGCTATGTTCTCAAACCCACTGTGCTCTGCCTGATGATCGGTATCCCAGATATTAGCATTTCTCATGTTTTCTACTTTGTTTCTATTGTCCAAACCATTCTTTTCCACAACTTTGCTTATCAGTTGTTACTGTTCCATGCTCACAACTGCACTGAGTATGCTTTAGGGAAATTTCAATAGCTGCCAGCACAACTCCATACGGTTGCTCAGGTCAAGGCACGCTTCCTCAGGAAAACAACAATTTGACTGTGACAGCATTTTCCTAACATCTGCATCTAAAACACTGCTGAGACAGCAAAGTTAAAAATTTACATTCTGGTCTTCAGTGGAAAAAAAAAACCTGAAACCTTCACTTATTCTGAGCTAGTGGGGATTTATTTCAGGGTGGTTCCTCCTCTTCAATACTAAGAAAATCTAGCTGAGTTAACATGTATCTTGTTAAAACATGATTCAATATAGCTAAACAGTAGATTAAAAACCCCACATAACAAGGCATTGCTGAAAGCAAAATTTCCAGACAGGAAGCTTGGAAAGTTCGTGCTTTTGGCACAGCTCTGGATGCATCTGAAGTGTTTGTCTTTAACTAGCTTATTCTGTGACTCAGAACAAACTAATATTAAAGCCACTAAGAGAAACACAGTTCTCAAACATGAAGTTAATATAACTCTAATAGTTACATCTCATTCTTTCCCTTCACTAAAAGGGGACTGGACAAGAAGTAGAACCCTTACTCCCCACAAAGACAGCAGACAATGGACAACTAACATTGTTTTCCTTATACAAGTACGAAAGCACCGGAATCCGCCCTCTGCTTCTGAACCTTGAGCTTCCAATCACCACTGCCTTACTAGCAGCTCTAGGCACCACTATTTCTGGAGGATATGTGTTGCAAATCTACGTGAGAAAAGAGAAAAAAAAATCCACACATTACTACTTACCAATTAAAAGTTCATGAAAAAATCATCTTTTGCTTATGATCTAGCATTTATAAACAACAGGAATAGATTGTTTGCGAGAGTGTATCAAGCCGTTAAGATGTATTTACAAAAATAACACAGGAATAGGTCCAAAAATAAACCAATCAATTTTGCAACTGAACCTAAAAGAACAGACTGCACAGTACACAATACATATTAAAAGGAAGTTCTTTAAATCCATAAATTTTATGAAAGTTCCTGCTTTGTCACAAAAAGAGGAATTAAGAACAACTATATTTAAAAAGTTCCTTCAATCTTATTCAACTTGAAATGAGCTTCCAGCAGTCAGGTAGCATCCTCAGAGACCAGCTTTATCTTTTTCCCCTCAAAAATGTACAGTTTTTTCAGCACATACTTCACAGATAAGCTATTCTCCAAGTCTGGCTTTACTTTAGGCCTGACAATGTTAAAACAGAAGCTGGAAACCCTGAGGAAATTATAAAGCACTGGCACTTGAGGATTTACATACTAGCAAGTAAAGCTGCAAAGTGATTAATGATTTTAGATGCCCACATTTAAATGCCCTAATCAGCTAATGGAAAAAGCACCTCTCGCATTGCATCTCAACTCAGGCATACAAAGATAACAGTCATTTAAAATTACCAGTCGATTCTGACAGCACAGACTTATATTTCTCCCATGCAAAGCATAACAGTAAAGAAAACTAGTGGGGGAAGGGAGCGGAGGGCAGGGGGGAAGGGACTCAAGACAATATATTGGTATCTTCCTTGGAGTTGCTATTCACAGCCACAACAGCACTGGGGATCTGTGCTTGCCCAGAAACGGAACATCTCATGGCGCTTGTTCTCAGCAGAGCCTCTTTCCGAATGCAAACATCTGTCTCTCTCTCCCACAAGGGAGGTGCCAGCCCTGAAAGTTGTTGCTTTGTCTTTTAGACAGAAAGGTCTGACTGTATACAGCATCAGAAGAAATAAAAAGGGAAATAATATGAAGCAGGAGTTTGAGTAAGCTTGCTGAAAAATGCTTTCATTTAATGTTTAGATCCAACCTGGCCTTACAGGGGAGAAAGAAGAAAACAACAGCAGCAGCCAGTTAGGACTGAAATGATTGAGAATGCTTATTTAGCAGAAGATGCAACCAAGCAAGAAAAAAGAAGTCTGTTTTCCATTACTGTTTTTTCCTTCCTTACCTAGTCCTTTGTCTACTCTGCCTCATTCCCCACCAAGCCATATCACTGCCATTTATTTCTCTTCCACACATCTGTCACCAGCCTGGTGGGACAGGGTTTGGAAATACCAAAAGCAGCTAAGGGTACTTCAGGTTTTTCGTAACAGATGGTTTGACATTTCTCTAGAAAAACAAGTATCTGGTACTTTGCCAAGGGGATCAAAGCAAACCAAGGTGACTCCACAGCTCTGTTCTGTTCTTCCTTAGCATCATTACCTGCAACTTCACATCAAGACGATGCTGCTTCAATTAAAACCAACTGAGCTCATTCCTCCCCAGAGGCATCACTTATGCAGCAGTAGAAGGACTGCTGTATGACATTAATAGCAAAGAAGAGATACTGCATTAAATGGCTACTTTGGGCAAGAATTACCTCATAGTCTTTATTAACATCCGTTATTTCCCAATAGTCATTTGGAATTCCCATACGCTGGTAATCCACTTTTAAATCAATCAGCTTCCATCCAGTCTCCCGGTTCTCTTTAGACATTTTAGGATTATATGAGAAAGCGTAAAGTTCTTCAGGTTTCGCTGGGAAGAAGGAAGAAAAAAATTAACTAGTTAGAGATACAAAGACATACAGAGAGGTCAACATTTCTTCCTAAAAGCCATCTTTTGGATAAGCACACTATGCAAGCCAGCAAGCTGCAGGTGTATCACAACCAGTTCAAGGACTGAAAAAAATTATTCAGTCAAGAAAGATCAGGAGAGTTAGAAATCATTTACTAAAGAAGCCAAAGGGCTATGCCACTGTACTGCACAGTTGGCTATATTTTAATAACAGCTATCTTCCCTATGCTTCTGCCTCCTCAAAGGTCAGAAGCATGAAGTTTTCTTTTATCACTTTGTGTACTTTACTACTCTAAGCAAATTTATAGACTGATTCTCACTCCTTAAAAAAAAATAATAATAATTGAGTACTACATAGAAGAGTATAGATACTTAAAATTTCTCAACCTCACATTTACGGTTTTCATTCAGCGTAGCACCAAGTGCCAACAATTCGTATCGAAATCCTCAGGAATTTCCAGTACTCAGTTCCCACATGCAGGGAGGCACACTAGAATGTTTTGTTAGAATTAATTAAAACTTCAAAGTAGTAATTTTTTCCCAAACAAATTATTTCCTACTGAATTCACTGCAATAGGCATGTTAGACAAGATTTATATCATAAGAATTAATCCATAAATGAAAACATGTATTAAAAGATATATTTTCTGTGAAGAGTTCATAAAACAGCTCTTGCACACCTGGAAGTTCATCGTTCAACAGTGAGTTCTGAGTCGCACGGAAAACTTGATAGATGTCTTGAATATTACTGTCAGCCCAACAAAAGCTTCAGGCTGTGTCTGACAAATGGTAATTTCTTCCTCCCTCCATCTCTACCATCCCAATTTCCTTCCCTCTCTTCATAAAATGCAAATCCAACCAATAACTCATTCAGCTGATTCCCAAGGCAGCAAGCGCTCCAGAGACAGAGTGAAACCTGTCAGAGTCTGATAAAGTAGCCAGGTTACCAGACAGGTAACCCATAGCTGTCAATCATACATGTGCAAATCATAAATAATTATATGCTCTGCCAAAAAAAACATGAAGGAAGCATACCTACAGAAATTTTAAAACGACAAAAGAGAACTGTTAAAATCCATAAATAGAACAAAAGAAAGAGCTGCAGCATATTACACAAATAACCACAAGACAAAAGAAACTGATGTAATCCCCTGCAGTGACAGCTCCCACGCTTCAAGACCCTACATGAGTCTCTAATTTTCAAAACTGAAAGAACAGTGACAGCTTTTAAACATACCACCAGAAACTTGCCAGATGCAGCATTAGAATTAGAACTTCAAAACTCAGAAAACTCCAAAGCTCAGAGCACAAAGGAGATGCTGGGAATAGCCACAAACCTTAATATCAATAAACCCCCCCCCCCCACTCAGCAAAAACCATTTCTACTACAGTATTTCTGTTCAAGTCCTATGTGATGGCCAGCACGAAGCAGACTGGTGCTATCAATTCCCTTCCCTTAGACTAGTGACGTAATTAGAAAATGCAATTACAAATGGCATCCTTGTAATAACACTGAACTCCAAATACTGGTTCACTGATGGAGCACCCCAAAAAAACAGAAGCTGTCATAGACAGAAGCCAGGTAGGAAACGTGATGGAATGCTGTCCTGTAAGAACAACAAGTAGCCTGAGAATTCATCCATGATAGACTAAAAAGCTGAAGACACAAGAGACCACAGGCTTTTGAGGATGTTTTGCTTGCACTCTTAAGAGTGACTCCAAGTCAGGGCAGCCAGGGTGAAGCACAGGGTTTGACAACTGAAAGAAGACAAACATTGAAGAGTAGCCTAAACATGCTACTGGAAAACAAATGAAAGATCCCAAAAGCTTTATCTGTGGGATTCCAGAATCCTGTGAACATCTGGATCAACTGGAAAGGGTAGAACTACACAAGGACAACAGCTAAGTCACGGAAATGACTAACTGACAATGGCCAGGTATGGGATATGACACTCAGCACGAGTGCTACAAGAAAAAAGCCTGAGATGCTGCATACAGCTTCAGTCAGGCAAATGAACTTTGCATGGGTCTTCAGAAGTTCCTCATGGGCGACCACCTCATTCCCACTGCCACAGAAGACCTGTGTTTAGTTTGGAAGCAAATGCCCTGGTCCACAGGGTAGCACTCTACTTACTGAGCCAACCCACACAGATCGTCTCTGGCAGTGGAAACCGATTCTGATTTCACATCCTCCCCCTCCTGCACTGACACTGCAAAACCAACAGTCTGGCAGGCAAAGCTTTCTCTATTGCTAAGACAAGCCTTCCAGCCTAAAGCATTTCAATGATTTGCAAAACAGACTCCCGTCCTAAATACCTGGTTGTGAAAGTTTAAGCAATGAGGTATATACTTCATGACAGTCACGTTCCTGCCCAATAACAAAGTGAGCCACATGGAAGTTCTTGCAGTGAATAAGGAGCGGATATCCAGCCGTGGTCAGAGGCATTTTTTCTACAGTTGCAATATGGTGATGCAGAATCTGAAAAACAGGAAATAAACCTGGTTCACTTTGCTTTCGCTCCACTCCCACATGCGATATATTTTGTCATTCCCATTTTACTTTAGAATTAATAAAAAAAGGCTAATTTCAGTGCTAATTTTGTAGTTCTAAAAGCTGTAAAATCAGTTGTGGTGGCTTGGTATATTGAGTTTGAGATGGGAAACTAGACAAGTTTTTTATGTTCCTGGAACTAATACTAATTCAGTGAGCGACCTTGATCAAGTCACATTACCATTATGTTCATTTTCTTCCAAAACAGATGTTTCTGTTAAGCATTTGGTAAGAAAATGCTATAAAAGACCACTACAACTTTGGAACTCACAAACCTGTTCATTTTGGATATGAGATATAAAGTAATTTTTATACTTGTATTTAAACAGACTCCAGGTATCACAACATACCCATGTTTCTTTTCTGACTTCAGCAGAAGCATCTACATAGATAAGGTGGGTAGCTGTCAGGTATAACGTCCCATTTGCTGCCTTCCTATTTGTATAACGATCTAGTAATTTCACATTTTCAACCTGCAATATAAAAAGAGTATGAAAAAATGAATTTAACTTTGATTGAGGAAATAAATACGCACTTGTCGAACTGCAATCATTTAACTTCTAATATACAGCTCAGGAAGTAAGACAGAAGAATGTAAGAATTAGTCTTCCCTGCAACACTAACTCAGCTTCACACTATAAATTCAAATTATTTCTCCGGCAATTAAAGCCAAAAAGGTTAAGCAAATAGCACCACTGTGAATAACAGGATTACTAGATTTGTAGCCAAGATGATCACAGTTTATTACTGCGCAAGGTTGCGGAAATAACAGGACAAAACACTGAGAAAGAAAAGACTGTCCATGTTCAGTATAATCAAAATGTTGCTGTGAAAGAAACAGCCCTCTCCAGACTGACTTCCAGCTGCTCAGTCAGTCTAAAAAAATAGCTACTTGTTGTAACACACTTCCTATGCATGTAAGCGCATTTCATAAACCACACTAAGCTAATTAATAAAAACAGTTTTAAAAACCATCAGCACAGACATATTAAAATATTAATTTTAAAGTATTTTACGTTATTTGATTGATTTTCTCCTGGCGTACTTGCTTCTCAATGAATATAGACGAAATTTTTCTTTTGACATTAAACAAAAATAATGAGGGGGGGGAATTGGAAGGACAGTGAAAACAAACAGTTTAACAGTGTAAGATAAATTAGTTCTGGGTATTGAATATGTAAGCTTCTGTACAGGGTCACTGGTCTGAGATACATCATGGTAAATGTCAGCAAAGAAACTTGAAGAGCAGAGGTCTCGGCTCTGTGTCTTCCTACTATGTCATGTTTTTCAACACGTATAATTATTATAACCAATATTGCCCTTTTTCAGGCCACTAGAGACAAGCAGGTCCAGCAAAGCACCTTAGGCAATATGGGTAAGGAGCATACCCAAACTAATATTCTAGAGAATAAAACAAAACAAAACACAGCAACCTTCATGGTATATTTAAAAAACAAACAAACAAAAAAACCCAACTGCTGGACTGACAGCTGCCTGAAGTAAATACTTTTTTTTTTTTGCTGTCACAAGCACAGCATTCCCAGAGCTCCTGTTTCACTTTATTCAACTGAAAAAGCACATTTTGAGTCACTTATTCGGCCGGAGGGGGTCTCCGCACTTTGATATACATGTTTACACGAATCGCACCCAAAACACCTTTTGATCAGTACCCTTACTAAAAATTTCCTTTCCAACAAGGCGATACAGTAAGAAATACCTAAACACCACGTGAAGTAGCTTTAAGCCTTCCAGACTTATCCGCGACCCGTTTGAGAAGCGCGAGGGACGTTCAAGGATACGTATGCCTTGAAAGAAAGCAAAACCAGCTCGCTTACCCAAATTAATCGCGACTTAAAAGAAAAATCGCTGAAAACGCACGGCCCTGACAACAGCCCCAGCCGAGGCCCGCCGTCGCCGCAGGGGCTTCACCTCAGGTGTCCCGCGGGGAGGGCCCGGCGCAGGGCGGCGAGCGGAGCCCCG